CTGATTTATTACTATTGTACAATAAATAAATAAGTTCTATTATGTTAAAAACATTTTATCTTTACAAAATAATTACGCTGACTAGGTGATTCGCCGTTCGTTATCGCATAATGGATATTAATTATCTCCAAATCATTAAAAAGTTTTGTCTTAGAATAGCTACACACTATTTATTACTATTATAATAAATAACAACTACATGGATATTTCGTCATAAAATAATTGATCATATATAATTTTTTTTTTTTTTTTTTTTTTGCGAAAGATTGTGAGTTAGTTTTATTTATATAGAATTTATTTTATACATATTTTAAAATACATAGATAAATAATTTCTTTGTGTTATGAAAACTTTAATTTTAATTTTATTATTAATAAATAAAATTGTACAATATTAAAAAAAAGTCTCTTTACGATAATAATAAAATATAAGCAATAAAAATATATTTCCGGATCGTGTGAAAACAAAGGGGTTGTCTCCTTACAAAACTTATTGATTTATTACTATTGCACAATAAATAAATAAGTTATATTATGTTAAAACCATTTTATCTTTACAAAATAATTACGTTGACTAGGTGACTCGCCGTTCGTTATCGCATAATGGATATTAATTAAAAAATTTTTGTCTTAAAATAGCTACACGCTATTTAAGCATAGCGGAAGTTTGTTGTTACACGAAAATTTATACAGAAAACTTCACCAGTATATAGTTGTTACCTCTCTAAGTTCAGATCCAATTCAAATCCAGTTTATCACTTACTTTTTATTGCCAGAATGTTTGCCATTGTAAAGCTACGTTGCACAATATAAAAAATTAATGTAACATTTCAAATTTCAACTATGTTCGCTCGCTATTTATGGTGCAAATCATATATAATCATTAATTGCTTATAATAACATTTGATCAACTTCAAAATACTAAAACAAAAAAAAATTTAATAAGTTTTATTGTTCATGACTCAAGCTTCAAAACATTTGATTAAAAGTTATTTACAACAAAAAGTTTAACGAACATATTGAGCATAACTTTCAAATATGAAAAGAAAATTGAATAATGGTGGGTTTTTTAAAATCCAATATGAGACGATCCGCATTGTGTTACTATTACAATAATAATAATAACATATTTCGTCATGAAACAACTGATCCATATGTATTTTTTTTTTTTGCAAAAGATTGTTAGTTTTATTTATTTTTAGAATATATAGATAAATAATTTCTCATTTTCCCACATGTATAATAATAAATATCGTGACTAATCTTTACCCATAGTGGAAATTTGAAATGTTAGATTAATTTTTTATATTGTGCAATGTAACTTTACAATACACGGCAAACATTCTGGCAATAAAAAGTAAGTGATAAACTGGATTTGAATTGGATCTGAACTTGATCTCCTAGTCCCACAACTTTCTTCATCATACCGCCAATTTTGAGAAAATTTCCCAATCAAGATGCAATAAAAATTGTTTGGTCATGTGATATTTCCTGGTCATTTCATAAATAGTAAAATCAGCAATAATAATATATATACCATTTGTTATTGGTTAAAATTTACAAATGACATTAATAGAAATGAAATGTATTTCCATGAAATATATTTTTGATGCTAGGTGGGAGATAGCAAGTATATGTTTTTGCGCATTTCTTTGATCAATGCGATAGTCTATTTATTAAATTTGAAATAAATGGCTTAGCTGTTTGTTGCATTTTTTATATACATAAAGAATAAATTTTCTTTCTATTCATTTGGAAAATTCATCTAATAAAAGATCAAAGTTTGTTTTGTTTCAATTCGTCTATTTTTGATATTAACTTTTTTTGCGTGTAAAACGTCAATTTTAGGGCTAAACATAGTAAATTTGGTAAACTCGTACAACTTTAGAGGCACGACAACATGACATATCAATGAGATGAAAATCGTAACTTCGTAGAGGAAGGTCCTGCCTGGCTTCAAAAAAAAAAAGATTTATTTTGGGGTGCCACATTTCCATATTTGGAGGATTTGAAGGATCCACGCAACCAATAAAAAGTGCGGGACTAAGTGACCACCTGATGATCATTTTAATAATCGGAAATATTACGCATGCAGTTCAAAATTTTATTAATCAAACCGGAACTGGTGCATTATCATTACTGATAATCATATTCTTTTTAACGTTAAATATATAGAGCTTTTGAGTCATCATTATATAAAGAACATTTTGAAACAATTGAGCTAGTGTATAAATTATATTAAATTACTTTCTCGCCCATATATCACAGAACCAATAATTGTAATCAACATATTCGTGAATATCTAAATATATGTGCATGTGATTTATATTTATATGCATTCTTATTTAATTTTATTTATCTTTATTAACTCATTGTCATTGCCATAACCTTTACCTTTTCAATAGACATTAAAAAGCAACATCTGCAAAAAAGAGATAAAAAATGTCAAGGATAAAAGATGAGCAAAATTAGAAGTGAAGAATGTCAGGAACACAAATGAGTGTCATGAACAAGAATAATTTATTAGTATATCCGCTAATGCTGTCCTCATTTGGGTCAACAATTGGTTTGTCTGGTAACACAATTTGCAATTTAACTGATAATAGTCATACAATGTCTAATTTTCTTCCATCACCAAGTTAATATTCAAATAAAAATTTGAAAGCAAGAAAGGATCATTAGAAAACCAGCCGAATCAATGATAAAATATAAAAATAATCGATTTAGATGATGATAATGCTATTCCTGGTAAAGTGGCCTTTTCTCCTTCTTCTCCTTCTCCTTTGTCTTCCAAAAAATAAACCACATGGTTCAATCGTAATTAGGTCTGATGACAAAGCTCCTTCCTAACTTGCAAAATAAAATTGGTACGTACACACAAATGGTAACAAATATATTTATATATGATATTTTTGAAGTTTATAAACTGATATTTATATTTTAACCATTAAGAAATGAGATGCTCAATTCAAGGAAGAATACAATATTTTAAAAAATTACTATTGATTAATATTTTTAATTATATATATATATTATATTGATTATTATAATTGAAGTAAAATTTTGATTGAATTAAAGAATTTTCTTAATTATAATCAAAGGTGACGACGATAAAAAAATCACTCAACGAATATACGTCAAAAATAGAATAAAATTCTTTTAATTGTTCAATTTACATCTCTTTTCTATTTTAATTAAATAAAAAAAACAAACAAATTGCAATGATCATAATCAGATGTACAAATAATTCATTATTTTATTATTTACTATTAAAATTTTTTTTCTTTTTAAAAAAACCAATTAGATAGGAAAAGCAGTTAATTTATATATTACACTATTTGTTAATGACAAAAATCATTCCAAGTTGGCTTACAGAAGTACGTCCTACTACTCCAAACACTAATACTATGACTTCAACATGGACCTTACCAAATACTGACTCTTTACTTAATGGAAGCAATCATGTTGACTCTGTTTTCAACACTAGCTTTACTACCGGAAATGGTGGTGGCATTCGAATTGATACAACAACTAATCAAACCAAAGAGGCATCACAGCAATTACCATCGCCATCATTTAATGGATATAAAGATTTTAATAATAATAATAGTAATAATAATGTAACAAAATATAAATTCAATAGTTCATTAACAGCTTTATCAGCTTCACCTGATCAAACTCGTGCTGTTGTCGTTGGGCGTGAAGGTCGTTGTAAATTAACAAATTCAAAAAAAAATTTTTAAATTTTTCACTCGAAAACTTACTAATAAATTTATATGCTTACATAGTGTTGAAAATTTTGAATGTATCAGATAATGAGATTACAGAAGAATTAAAAGTTAGGGTTGAAAATAAATTTAACAGTAATGATGTTAAATGGGGAAACAATCGTTAGTATTATAAATAACATTTATCTTTATAAGGAAAAAGTATGCGGGAGAGAGTGAGTGTGTATGTGTGTTTATTATTTTTTGAATAGTTACTTATTGATCTACATGAAATTTATGTATTTTAGTTACAAAAAGCAAAATAGCTACTGCTGCTTCAAATGGTTCAATTGTTATTTGGGATATAGAAAATGGTAGATCAAAGATTGGTGAGAGGATTCTTTTATTAGTGTGTACATTGACAAAAAATCTATCCGCTTTAAATAATAATATTCTAATAATTATTTACAGATCAAAAAATCGATGATCATAAACGTGCTGTTAATAGAATATGTTTTAGTCCATTGCAAGGTTCGTCATTGTTAAGTGCCTCACAAGATTGTACTATGAAATTGTGGGTAGGTGTTTCTGATCTATTTATTATATTGTTAAATATGTTAAATTTTTTAGTTAATTTTAAAATAAATTTTTATTTATTTTAGGATCTTAGAGATTTAGAACGGGCAATGAATACATTTCAAGGAAGATGCGAAGGTGTTCGTGATGTGCAATTCAATTCAATGAACCAATATGAATTTGCTGCTGCATTTGATAATGGAACAATTCAGGTGAGTTAAACCAATGTTATTTATATGCATTAGTATAAATATATTCTGATAAAGTTATTTATTTAATTAAAGAAATGGGATATTAGGAAACCAGTAGTTCACCTAAGAAAATACAATGCACATATTGGATCAGTATTGTCTATTGATTGGAGTTTTGATGGTAGAATCATTGCTAGCGGAGGGCGTGATAAAATCATCAGAGTATACCTTAATTATTTTTTTGTAATAGTGATAATATAATAATGATAATTCTAAGTTTTAATATTTTAATTAGATATGGGATATGAATTCAGAAAGTAGAAAGCCAAAAGATACAATCTATACCATGTCAGGTATATCTTATATTAGATGGAGACCAAACTATCCAAATGAGATTGCATCATGTTCGTCATTGACTGATGTAAGAGTATTTGTTTGGAATGTTAAAAGACCTTACATCGCAAGTTGTTTCTTTGAGACACATGAAGAAGTTCCAACGGGTATTAATTTATAATCTTGTAAATTATTTATCATATATTTTCGTAATCATAGATAATATTGCATTTAATAGGAATTTTATGGCATGATCCTGATGTGCTGTGGTCTTGCTCAAAGGATAAATATTTTATACAGCAATATATCAAAGGATCACGTCGACCTTTAGATTTATTAAGTAAATGCGGAATTGGCTGGAGTGTCTATGATCAACTAGCATTTACTGTAGATAAATCCAACAATAATAATGATATAATTGATGATCAGTAAGAATTTATTCTATTGATTTTTTCACCTTTGAATATTTTTTTTTTTTTAAAAAAACAATATAATAATCATATTCATATTGGAGCAGAAATATTAGGCAGCCTTTGAATAATCAAATTAAAAAAATGCAAAGACGTATATCTCCTGGAGCAATAGATTCATCAAATGAGGTATTTATAATTAATTGGCCAGATCTATTTTACATATAATTTTTAATAATGTTGTGATAAATAATATTAGGGTTATTACAAATTACAACAAAAAACTGGAATGGCACATTTTAAAGCGTTTGATTATAGAGCATTTTCATATCTTGCAGGGAATTATATGATTTCTAGTCAAAACATTTGGGAAGCTTGTGAACATAATGCAAAAGTAAACAATTTTATTCTTTATTATGTTTTTTCTAAAAAAACTCATTTAATACTAATCACCTTATTTATCTATCTAGATTGCACACGATGCACAAAAATTTAGGACAGCACAAACTTGGAAAATAGTTCAACTATTATTACACAAAAGAACAGATAGCATTGATAACAATAGCAATAGTAATTATGATTATACAACACGCTTGCTTAGATCTAGTTTAAATATTAATACTAATAAATGAATGTTTTAGATCAAAATGGAGTTGAAGAACAACAACAGCACTCCAATGAATCTAATTTGGCGAATGAAAACAGTAGTAATACTAATACACCAATAGAAAAAACATCAGAAAGAGAAACAGGAGCATTAGACGTAAATAAAATTTGTTTTTATTGATTTATTATTTTATAATCATTTTCTATTAACATTACTATAATATTTAGGATGATTATTCATCTGACTCATCAGATGAAAGTGAAGATGAAGACAAATTTATAAAAGGGTCACTCGCCGATTACAAAACACTACAGAATCCAAAGAAATTTACTAAATTATCAGAAAAAGATTTTATTTGTGGACCAACTATAAAGATAAATTTAACGCCGTTATTTGATCAAGAACAAATAATTTCACAATTATTAGATTATTATTCAGAACAGGCAAGCATTTTTAATTATTCCAAAGATAAAATTTATATATTATTTATTTTATTTGTTATACAGGGAGATGTGCAAATGTGTGTTACCTTAGTTCTTGTAATTGGAGATAGGATTAAGTTTAATAATGAAAGAGTAGAACAATGGTTTTTTTCATACATTGGTTTGTTTATTATCATTTAATCTTCAATTAGCGCATCATCGTAATCGGAACGCTTATAAAATTATTTTTAATTTCTAGAATTATTACACAGATTTCAACTTTGGATAGCAGCTACAGATATAATTTCTTCTTGTTCGATCGCAGCAGTTTCAATGCTAAATCAAGTAAATATTGGATTATCATTGTTGATGCTTTCTTTTCTAAATTATTAAATTATTGTTATTTTTTTATTAATATTAGCAATCTACAACCATTTATACTACATGTAATAATTGTTATAAACCTATTCTAAATAATTCTTTGAAAAGTAATGGATTTTGGTCATGTGATAAATGTCATAAATTATTAAATTCATGTTCAATATGGTGAGTTTCTTGTACTATAGATATTTTAATATTTATTAAATTTAATATTCTATGCAAATTTTTCATTAAAAAGGATACTTTTTTTTAGTCATAATATAGTCAAAGGTCTTTATACTTGGTGTCAGGGTTGTAGTCACGGGGGACATTTAATTCATATGCAACAATGGTTTGATCGAAATAACGAATGCCCAACTGGATGTGGACACAAGTGTTCTATAGGAAAGTTTTCATAATTTTTATTTATTATTTTTTTTAATTATATATTTATTGTAAATTTTATTTGAACTTTTTGAAAAGCGAGTATGAAATATTTTACATTTCCATATTTATATAAAATATATATATTTTAAAAAGTTCAAGATATACTTGCAAAAGACATAGATAATGAGATAGGGAAGATTATAACATATATTGATAACAAATGAAATTAATGATAAATATTTTTTAGTTGCTCTTTTTTTTCCGTTTTTTACGACCATTATTTGATTATTTTCTTATTCGTTATTTACAAACACCGTATGTTTATGTACATTTATTAATCTATATACTTGAGTCAATTTGATTTCTAGCATTTTATCTTTTAAGAGGAAGAAGTATTATTGGAGAAAGTATTGGAAGAAGTAGGTCTATTTTTAGACATTGACTATAAAGAAATAACAATAGTAATAGGTAGTAATAATAATACGCGTAATAAATTTTTTTTTTCGAGTGCTGAAATTTACCAATCAACATGAATTCCATATTTATAACAATATAAATAATGCCTAAAGGAAATCGTTCTCCAAATAACGCTGCCATTTTTTACTAGCGATAAATAAGTAGTATCTAATACTAATAACAATTTTCAATACAACAATAATTTGTCTTGTCCTTCTCAACAACTACAACATTATCACTTCTCCTTCGTCTTCTCATTACAAAGACAGGCTAGCTTTTTTTATTTATTTTAAGAATCGAAGAAAAAAAGACTCTTATTGAGGGGAATCGCAGGATGAATTAAGCAAACAAAATCTAATAACCAAAATCCTATAATTGATTTTGAATTTTACAAAGCCAAGATCAACGATTTACCTTTTGGAGATGACTTGGGGAAAACTTTTAAAAGTGTTGAGCAATCCACTTAATTGTTAAAATTCAATTATAAAATAAAGAAAATTTAATGTTAGAAGTGTTTGATATACTATCATATAACGGGAGTTAATCGTTTTGAGAAAATAACTTTTGAGTTTTTATTGGAATTGATTTTACGCGTTGAAAGTTCAATATTTCCTACTTCAAAATTTACATAATTTAATCTCGGATAATAAAAACAAGAAGGGTGATACTAGTATTATCCCATGTTTAATAGTAACGCTTTGCAAACAAAAAATATCAACAAAAAGCTGCGTCTAATTAAATAAAGGTTACTCGAACGCGGCATGTGATTATATGCGTTTTTACATATCATAAACTTCAAAGCCGAAAACCAATGCGAAAACCAATTTCACACACTATGTAAAAGTTGTTATATTTTAAGTCTTTATAATTATTAAAGTAGCAGTATTATTATTATTATTTTGCGATTTAATTTTTTTAAAACCGAAACTTTTTGCTTTAGATGAAACCCTTGATCCTTTAGATATCGAAGATCCAACAACAATGATAACAGCAGGATGCAATGAAATTATAAAAGAAGGAATATCAGTGGTTTATAATAAAAAAGTTTTATATAGGCCAATGATTAAAATTGAAGGTGAAAGTAAAGTTCATTGTTTTCTTAATCAAAACTTGCTTATATTGAATGCCTTTTCCCCAAACATCTTTGCATCAATCAAACAAGTGATTTATTCATTGACGCTCTCGTTAATTAAACCAAGGAATGAATACATCAAACATAAATCAATTTGTATGATTTTGTTTTGGTGTTTTTTGCATAAGGAATACTTGGTCAAGTGATCCTTAAAAACCATGCTAAGAAAACTTGGATAAAAAATTGTATCTTTAATAATAGTTTAAAAGGATTATTCAAAGAATTCGATATTAGTTAATTTGGACGTTCAACGTTTCTGTGATCATATATGATTATTAAAAAAGAAGAGATGCATTTAATTAACACATAAAAATATATTTATAATATTTATTATAGAGATAAAATTTATTTTCATCGAGTTTCTTTAATTTGGAACACTTACTAAAATTTATCGCTGGGAATTTTACATATTCCACAAATATTATATTATTTCTTTATGGTCAATGTTTACTATATGCCTCTTTCTGTGCCAATCCATTAACCCTTATTTATCCTGAAGAATTGAATCTGTTTCTACAAGACCTGATTGTACGTGCAGTTTTTTTTAGAGACGTACATCTTTTGACAACAGCGCAGCAGATAATTATAATTACTATAATTTTTTTCATTTTAAGAAAGTTGCTGACTGATTCAAGGTAATCATAATTCTACAATGGATTTTGGATTGGATGGCTAGACTGGATGTTATTTTTGTTATTTTTTTAGGGAATTTATTTTCTAGCTATAAAATTATCCTAGAGACACATATCAGCCGATTTGGTTTTTTGGGCCTTTTTTCAAAACTTATGTCTTATTGTGTCTCGATGTTAAACGAGTATTTTTAATGTGTAAACTGGTCGGTAGAATGATAATTACCCTAAAAAAAATTATTTGCTCCGCTAAAAAAA